GCGCGCGGGATGCGGCGGGCAGCCGGGGTGCTGGGGTTTTCTGCGCGGAACTTTGGGTATAACAGCGTGGACCGGCGTGTGCGTTTGTGCGCGCCCCGAGGCTTTGTGTACAACTCGTGAGTGTGTGTATCGATGGGGTTTTGTGAAGCTTCACCCACGGCCGCTGTGCGTCTCCCCGCGTGTTAGTGCGCGCGAGGTGGGGTGGGGTGGGGTGCTGGGCCCCAGGCGGGTCTCGGTGGGTGCCGTCCGGGGGAGAGTTCACTGTGTGTGCGTAACCAGCTCTGCCCCTTCCCGGGATGTGAGTCCCAGTGTGGTCTGCGGATCTTGGGGTCACACTGCGCCGCTTCCCATGTCTGTGGGCGCTGCCTGTGGTAAAGGTTCCTGGGGGGGAGGTGTGTGTGGATCTGGGCTGTGTCTTTCGGGTCCTGTTGGACTGCAGATGAAATTTGAGTGATTGGAGTGTTACTGGTAAGGTTGGCGGGGCCGCGGTGCGGTGAGCAGTGGACACCAGAGTCTTTGTCTGTTTGTTTCTGCTTGTGTGTGTGTGTGTTGGGGGGTGGGTAATTGGGCATGCCCTTGTATAACTGGTGGGGACTGGTGGGGATCTCTGAATCTGTGTGGAGACATCACAACTCTGGGTGACAGGGAGCCTCTTTTTTCTCTGCCCTTTTCCTAACTCTGGCATCCTAAGAAAAAGTTTTGGGTTCCTGCTAGGTGAAAGAAAGCCCTGCTCCCAGAATTTGGGTGCCCCGAGTTTCCTTGGGATATGGAGGTATCAGCATGCTGGTCTGGGAGGGGAGTTCTTTGGGCCACTCCAGGAGCTGAGTTCTGTGGAGGGTGCTGAAGATCTGGGTGGAGGGGGGGGGCACATCTGGACACCCACTGGGCAGGAATGGTCACCGCCCCTCCCTGTTTGTGGTGGCACTCAGGAAAATGCTTTTGGTGCCGAGAGTAAAAAAGCCAGCCAGCACACCATACCACACCTCTCCTCTCCGTTTACTGGAAAGTGGGGACAGCCTGGGCAGAGCCTGGCTCTGAGTAGGTAGCCCACTACCCCGGGTCGGGGGAGGGATTGTCTGCCTGGGCCGGTTGCCAAGCCCCTCCTGAGGGCTGGCTGTGTTCCGAGCCAGGGGGCTGGAACCGGGACGGAATTCAGACACATCCCTGCCCTCAAGCTGCTCCCTGTGGTCTTCAACAGTGGGACAAAGTAGAGTCTACCAGTGGGGGCTGGAAGAGCCAGGGAGGGAGGGTGGAATGATGCCACGGGTGCAGAGAATGCGGGTTTGTAGGTTTGTAGGTGATAACAATTCTTAGGGAAACTGTATTCAACTTCTGGCCCCCACATGCATGCCAGGGGTCCTGCCATGGTTTGTAAAGCAGAGGTAGTAATTCCTGCTCATGGGGCTGGTAAAGGTTGCAGGAGAGACTCCCGAGTGAAGTGCCTGCTATAGGGTGGGCGGGTGCTCAGCAAACGTTTATTAAATTGGAACTCGGGAAAGAGGGACGTGGTGGTAGGAATGGGTTGTAAGTGGAAACAGGCTTTGTACTCACATGAAAGGCCCTGTGTGTGCTAAGAGGAGGTATCTGCTGCAAAGTCCACGTTGGAGGGAAGATCAGAAAGATTGAACAATGTGCCTTCTTGCACTGAGGCTCTCTGAGTTTCATTCATTCATTCGTTCCATTCATTTGCACTTCATTTGCTCATATTCTTTCTCTCTCTCTCTCTCACATACACACACACACACGCATGCACGCACACACACAGAACCACAGGGCACGGGAGAATACACTCAGGTGTGGGAATGCAGATAAACATCTAGAATCGTATATATGTGTGTGTAGACATACCAGGGTGTGCGAGCCACTCTGTACCTGGGGGGTCTCTGTACAGCACGGGGACTTGGGTCTATGTGCCTGGGCCCTGGGTATATGTGCCCCCAGGACGTGGGTGTGTACAGGGAAGGGTCGGGAGTTCTAGATGCCAGGTGGGAGCTGGGAGCGGGGGCAGCACTGGATCTACCAAAGGGAGGACGCATCATCCACTCCGGCTGAGGGTGGTTGTGAGGGAATGAGGGCCTACGTTGGCCAGATTCTTCCATTTTGCAAGCGAAGCCAGGAATCCAGAGTTTAAAATGTAAAATCTTTTGCTTTTTATATATTGGCAACTACTTCAAAAATAAGTGAACAGACCAGAAACAACAAAAAAGCAAAACTTTGACGAGCCAAATATGGTCCATTGGCTGAAGCTGGCATTCTCTGACGGGAGTGAATGCACGCGTGCCGTCTGGGTGTGGGCGGGTGTGTTCAGATACTTGGGTGGGGTATCTCCTCTTTGAGCAGACACTGACCCCTTCCCCCCGCCCCCTCAGCTCCCCTTCTGTGGTTCCCATCCAGGTCCCCCCCATCTTCTACTTCCATAAAGGCATTGGGCTTTGACCTCAGTCATGGCTCTCAAATGGGCTCCTTCCTCTTTGCCCTCTCAGCCACCATCCCTCCACCCCTGACCACAGCAGATCCCTCCCTGGACCCCTGACCTCCGCTCTCCTCCTTCCAATTCTGTCTTCCATGGAGGAAGGAGCCCGAGAGAGCTTCCTGAAATCTAGGCAGATCAGCACTCTCTGTGCCCACACCTCGCCTCCCTGGCTCCTTGGCCTGGCCTCCAGAGCCCTTTGAAAGCTGGTCCCAGCTGACCTCTGAGGCACCCCTCTCTAGAATGCCCTCACCCCCCACCCCCCACAGCTGGGGGATTTCCCACTCATCCTCTGAGGTCTGGTTCAAATGCCACCAACTCCTAGAAACTTCCTTGACTTTCTTCTCTTTGTCCCCACACCATCGTCATCATCTCTGCCCCTCCCCGTGCCCGCAGTCACCCTCATTTCATCATGACAGTGTCCATTAATTGAACTGGCTGGGGCCTCACATTATTTTATGAAATCCCCGCATCAACCCTAGGAGGGAGGCGTTTCACTTATTCCCATTTAACAGATGAGAACATTGAGTCTGGAGGGGTCACCTCACTTGTCCAAGTTCGAGTGGTGAAGCTGGGATTTGAACCTGATAGCCACTGTCTGAATGATAACTTACTGAGCACCTACTGTTCTGAGTCCTTTATATGGATGATCTCAATCCCTATGCCAGTCCCATTAAGTAGGGAGGAGTAGTGTTATTGTCACTTAATAGACAGGGAAACTGAGGCCAGAGAGGATAAGTAAATTGCCCAAAGCCGCGCGCCAGCCGGTGGTGAAGCAGGGTCCTGGCCTGGATTGGATGGCACCACTCTGTCATTGTCTGAGTCCCCATCTATCCCCACCTCCGTCTGGCAGGCTCCCCCAGGTGGGAACTGTGCCTGGCCGCCCTCACACAACCGAGGTCTGGTGCCAGCAGGCTCCTGGTAGAGGTTTGTTAAATTCGACTTTCTCTTTTCTCTTCTAGCTGCCAAGAGGCCAAGGGATGAGCGGGGGCCTTCCTTCCCAATGGCATCTCCCCCCGGCCTGGAACTGAAGACACTGCGCAATGGCCCCCAGATCCCAAGGAGACCAGCTCCTCTGGGCCCGGCGGCTCTGCCCAGGGAGGGTGTGGAGAATGTCTGCTTTTCCTCAGAGGAGTGCGAGACTCATTTCCAGAACCCAGGGGACACCAGACTGGGCAGATCCCCCAGCACCCCCGGAGGGGGGTTCCCCTCACGGCCCCGATCCCAGCGGGACGATCTCTCCCTGCGTTCAGAAGAGGGGCCAGGCCTAGAGCCCGTGAGCCGCCCGGTGGATTATGGCTTTGTTTCTGCTCTCGTTTTTCTGGTGAGTGGGATCCTCCTGGTGGTGACAGCATACGCCATCCCACGTGAGGCCCGAGTCAACCCTGACACAGTGACAGCGCGGGAGATGGAGCGGCTAGAGATGCACTATGCCCGCCTGGGCTCCCACTTGGACAAGTGCATCATCGCGGGCCTGGGGCTGCTCACCGTGGGCGGCATGCTTCTGTCAGTGCTGCTGACGGTCTCCCTGTGCAAGGGCGAGCTGTACCGCCGGCCCACCTTCGTCCCCGGCAGGGGCTCCAGGAAGACCTACGGCTCCATTAACCTGCGCATGAGGCAGCTCAGTGGGGATGGGGGCCAGGCCCTGGTGGAGAACGAAGTTGTCCAGGTCTCAGAGACCAGCCACACCCTCCAGGGGTCTTAAGTAAGAGCCCACCCTGTGTGGCTGCTTCAGCTGCAGGGCTCCAAGGCCGCCGAGAGCCTGGGGTTGCAGACTGAGCTCCACGGAGGGCCCTGCGGAAGGAGCCTTGGGTGGGTGCTGGAGGGGGGAGTCCCGGGGCCAGGCCCAGGCGGCACGTGGGAGAGCGGTTCCCAGATCTGTTTGCAGCTTGAGGTTTTGCCTAAGGTTTGTTTGGAGGATGGCTTCTGCTGCTAAAAATACAAAAATTTGGAAACCACTGCCCTTGGAGGATGAGGTTTCTTGGCATTTCCGAGGATTGAGAGCCCTTCGAAAGGCTGCCCATTCTGTTCCTCATGCCTTGGGGAATTCCGGGATCTCTGCGGTCCTCATCAGCCAAATGTGGGTGCTGGGCGACCTTGGAGGGACCCCCTTTCAGCCCTGACCATCTGTTGGGAGGTGGCTTCCCGACGACAGGAGAAATCCACACTGAGGTGACTGTCCCCTCTCCAGGCCTCAGTCCCCCTGCCTGTGAAGTGAGAGGGTTGGACTGGATGATCCCCAGGGCCCCTCCAGTTCTGCCTTAGGAATGGGAGCCCAGTAAATCTCTGCTTCTGGCCACTCTTACAGGAAAGGAGGGTGTCCGGCAGCTGCTCACCATTCTCGGTGCCATTTTCTGGCCCGGCTCTGGTGCCCCCCACTGTCATACATGTAGCAGCCCACACAGTCCTGCCGAAGAGCCCCCTAAGTCCCCTGGTTTGGCTGGGTTCAAGTCCAGAGTTGGCTACGGCCTGATTTGGGTCTTGGGATCGAATCACCTGCAGTGACCAGATCTCAGCACATATCTTGCAAGGTCAAGCGCACAGACAAGAGGGCTCTTTCATACAAGAAAGGGTGAGGGCTTTGTTGTATTTCCGTGGACATGATGTGGGCTTCCAGTACCTCCCCCTTCTCAATATTATGTCTCTGGGCCTCACCTTATTCAGGTAGCAGGAAAAAAATGTTTTTAATGCTGAATTTGTAACCTCCCTTCCCCCCCTTAGCAGTAAAGCGAGCCCCAGTGTATGTGGGGAGAAATCAGGCACGTTCTGGTGGCCTAGAAGCTCCTAGTGACCACCGTGTGTTCCGTTTTTTCCTGTGGCATGTTTGCAGGCTCCGTCCAGACTCTCTTCAACTAGTGACAAGGAAAGGAAGTGGGCCCTAGGGGGCAGGGAGATACAGGTCCTTGAGGACTGGGGGAGGCATTGCCCGGTGTGAACGGCCCTCGGGGGCTTGGAGAGTACGTGCCTTCTAGGCCCCACTGGTGTGAAGACTCTGAAGGCATCATTTCTGTGAGCCCCCGACCCCACGCAGGTCCTACTCACTCCATCTCAGTTGGCCAGGTGGGCCCTGGATCCCAACTGTCCCTTGGAGGTGGAGGGTGGGGTGGGAATGGGGTCTGTAGGCTATAGAGCCGTCCTGATTAGCTGTAACCCGAGCCTTCGATCCGGCGAGCGGAACATCTGGGCAATGTAACGTCACAGCTGCTAGGACAGATCAAATATCTGCTCGTGCTGGCAGGTTTTGCCAGGAGTAGAGGGTTGGGGGAGGACTGGAGGGGACAAGGGCTGTTCAGCGTGGCCTGCGGGGTTCCGTTCCTGGCGTTGAACGGGTGCGGTTTGGAAAAGAACAAAGCCTCAAGTGGGTAAAAGATGCACAAGTCAGGGCTTCCCTGATGTGTCGCTTGCCCCCACCCATGCTCCAGAGGACTGGATGCACAGAGTGGCAGGAGCCGTTCTAGGTAAACTACAGTCGAGTGGAACATCCCAAATGATGGGCTGAGGCCTTTCCAATCCCTACAGTGATGATAACACAAATACTGGAACAAGCCATATGGACTACCATGACGGCGGGGGGCTCATTTGACTCCAACCTGTTGAGTGGTGCATCTGGGACCATCAATGCCTATCAGTTTAAAGGCAGTGAATTGTATTTAGGGGCTAAATCTGTTGGAAGATGGAATCCCGGGAATCCCAGGTTTGCTCGAAGCCAGAGAAGCCTGCTTTGCATCTTCCTGCAGAAACTCCTTTAGAAAATGTGTACAATGGATCGAGGCAGTGATGACCTCGTCAGTAAATTAAGAAAACTTGAGCGATGCCAAAACCATTTCCCCAAGACTGCAGCTGAGCTCTCCCAGCCGGTGGGGCAGAAACAGGTTTAGGAAGGAATCGGAGGAGCATGGCGCAGGGTGCCGAGAACTTTCTTTGTAGGTTTTTTTGGGGGTAGGTGTGATGTGGTCCCAGGGGCCCTGTGGTCACTGGAACGTGCCTCACGTGCAGGAACTGCCTCTCCTACCCGACATGCTACTGGGGTCCCCCAAACCTTGCTTCCCTAGTGTGTTTGATAGCCACTTTGGAGTTGGTAAACCTGGCTTTGAATCCAGGCTCTGTGACCTTGGGCAAGCTACTCCACCTCTGTTGTCTTCTCTGTCTGTGAAGCAGGAGAGGTATGAGGTCCAGTCACTAAGAGCCCTCCTTCCCCACTTCAGTTAGGGATAACTGGATTAGGCCTGAAACCTCGGGGCCCACATCCTGCCTGCCTTCTCTCATACCTCTCATCCTACCCATGAGCACATCTGGTTGGTTCTACATTAGGAATCTGCTCCCTGCCCAGTCGTCGGCCACAATTACCTGCTCCACATTGCACATTGCTATTCTCATTTCTCTCCTGTCCACCCTCTGTGCCCAGTTCATCTTCCACTTTGCAGCCAGACAGATTTAATTGGGTCAGGTCACTCCTCTGCTCAAAACCCTCCTATGACTCCCTCTCACTCTGGACAAAAGCCAAAATTCTCCCTCTGACCAGAGGTGGATGTACTGTTCAGGCCCCTCACTCGCCCCAGGCACCTTCCAAAGCCCTGAGTCAAAATTTTATTGGTAATTTTGATTTTTTTAAAGGACGGCCCCTTAAATTGCATAAATTCAGGTCCCCCTAGATGTGGGTCCATCCCCCACGGTGGCCCATGAAACCCTACACGATCCGGCCCCTGTGGCTCTCTGACCTTATTTCTCACCCCTTGCCTCTTTGTTCACTCCAGCCACACTTGTCTCCTTGCCGTTCCTCAACCCTGCCAGGCACACCCCCCACCTCAGGGCCTTTGCACTTGCTGCTCCTTCTACCAGGAAGGCATTTCCCCTTAATAAGTGCAAGGCCCACTCGCTCACCTCCTTAGGGGCTTTATTCACATATCACCTTTTCAGTGAGTCCCCTGCTGACCGCCTATTTAAAATTGCACCCTTCCCCCATCTCAACCTCATTCTCTCTTTTCCTTCCCTGCTTTATTTCTCTCCAGAGCACTCATCGCCACTGCTGTGTTTTATACTTACTTATTGTCTCTCTCTCCCACCACCTCCCCCACTGGATTGCAAGCCACACGAGGGCCCAGGGCTAGAACAGTGCTTGACACATGGTAGGTGTTCTGTGTCGAATGAATGAATGTAACCCAAGCTTCTCTGTCTGCTGCACTGCACTCAGGCCCTCCCTGGGCAGGGTCCCAGAGACCGGCAGGCCCTGCCTCACCCCCTGGAACCCCCTCTAGGGGTGGGAGATAGTCATGCAGAAGACCCTGTGGCTGGAAGTAGGGACAGAGTTTGCCCCTGGGACCTGAAGTTGGAGCTTGGGAACCCATTTGCCTTCCTCTCTCAGGCCCTTGGTACTGCTTCATGTGGGAGAGGTAGAGAGCTTTTTCCTCCGATGGAGGAAGGCGGTTCTTCCCCAGCCTTGTTGGAGATGGGTTCCAGCTAGTCTTGGGGGACATTTACTGGATATTTAGGAGCCTGTGAGATACACCAGCCTGATTCTCTCTTACTCAAGAATCTTGAGTGCCCAGGCCTGGGCCTTTGAAACAGTGTCTATCCTCACCTCTGTTCACTGACCCCCCAGGCATCCTGTGAGTCTTCAGGCTGAAAATACCTGCTGTCTGAGATTCTACCGTGATTGCTCCCTTCCTTGAGAATAAGCATGACCTTCTCTGGGATTCTCTTTAAAACGTCCCCCTCGGTACATGCACACACCTACACCTACACACGTGCAGGAGCACATACTTGTGCATGCACGTGTGGGCGTGTGCACACGCGTACACACGACTTTCTCTTGTCTGACCTAGCTCAGAAGCCAGGACACATCCTCTTTTGAAGCAGCTCCAAGCCACGGCAACGTCTGGATTATTGAGAACGTATTCTCTTTCTCCAGAAGTCACAAGCCTTGCAGTTCCCAGGATGCTAACCTCACAGCAATAGTCAAGTTTTCCCTGTCCAGGTGCTGCTGGTGTCTCTATCCTTCCTGCTCCCCTGTGGGGCCGAGGGGGAAAGATGTCTGTGGAGTGTTTCCACCTGGCATTTGGGGAGGAGACTGTGTGGTCCTGGCTGGGGACCAGATGAGCTGGGTCCTGCAAGTCACCCCTTCCCTAGGGGCCTATGGGCCAGTCACTGCCTCTCTGGTCCTCCAGAATGAAATTAGAAACCTTCCCACTCTGCCTTGTCTGGGGACTGAGGAGATCAGGAAACACAAGCAGAGGGCATTCCAAAGTAAAGAGCATGTTACCCTGTGTCTGGAGAGCTTTGGAGGGGCAGAAGGAGAGGGGGAGGGGGGCATTATGAAGCCATAGGAGCTGGAGTTCTGTCTACGGGTTCTGTCTGCGAGGGAAGTAGGGTGTTGGTGGCACTGACAAAGTCAAGGAGATGCCCTCCATCTGGGCCTGTTGGTTTCTCTGGGAGAGAGTAGACTCCTCTTGATCTCACCAAGGAGGTAGATTTCAGCTAAGGGAGGGAGAAGCTTGCTGAGACCTTGTCCTGGCTGGAGTGGCAGGGAGCTCCTTGTTAGTGCAGGTATGTTAGATTACTGGTCAGGTGTTGGGTATCTTTAAGGACGGAGCATAGTAGAGTTGGGGAGGATTTCATCAAGAGGCTCCCCCAGCTTCCAACCCCCATTCTTTAAGGAGAGCCAACATCCCAATGGCCAGAGCCTGGCCCTCTGTATTGTCTTGTCTTTGGCCCAAATACCCTCCTCCCCAGATCATTCCTCTTCCTGGGTCAGGTCATCCAGGAGCAAATGAGAAGGCCCAGGGTATCTGAATGGTGCGGCAGGTGGCAGGGTTATTGCCTTCCTTTTCCCAGGAGGCCTTGCACTTCTGAGCTTTGTCCCTACTCAAATTTCAGAGGTTTGGGGGCAGGGCCCCTCATGGAGGGGGTTGACTGAGATGGCCCATCCGGTAAGAGTATACGGGAACTGGCTCCGGAGTCTG